TAGCTACTGCAAAATCCGACATTTTTTCAGTATTTGGTCCATTTCAACCACTAAACATTTGGCGATCATCTCCAAAAGAAATAGGGTTCTATTCTGACCCTAGCCCCACCTCCATTCTAAATTTCGTGGAGATCGGGCCATAATTGCGACCTGTAGAGTGACAAATTAACATGGACAGACGGACAGACGGACAGACGGACGGACGGACATACATAGCTAGATCGACTCAGCTCGGCGAGCTAGGAAGATCCATATATACTTTCCTATGTGGGAAACCAATATTTCGAGGTGTTACATAATTTTTGGCCCAATCAAACTTATAATACCCCCAACACATAGTGTTGTAGGGTATAAAAAACGATGATGACAAACAAATTTTTAATTTCAATGCCGCTTTATTAAATATTTAAAGCCGTGTTTGCCTTCATTTAGTCCTCTATAAATATTTAGCCTAAAGGTTAAGGTTATTTTCATATTAACATTTAAAAGTGCTGAAGTGTTTTCTGCCGTACTCTTTCGTTCTTGCAGCCAGTTCCTTCAACGGTGAGTGCAGCCGAAGAAGTGAAAATTGCCTAATTTGATGGTATTTTGTTGCTGTCGTTTTCATTTCATTTGATCTGAAACGACGAGAGAGAGGGAAAGAGGAGAGTGTGTGTGAGAGAGAGAGAGAGAGTTAGGAGATTCTTGTCACATCCTTGCCATACAAAATCCAAATACAATGAGCTTCATATGTGGATGTATGAAGCCCTGTTTTGGTTGTGTGCCGTTCACACCAGGTGAGATGGCCATGTGCTTTGCTTTTTGCCAAGGAAGGCAGCCAAGAGATAGAGGGACGTTTTTTTTTTGATGGCGTTACCGACAATGGTTTGAATTCTCTGTGGAGAATTGCCAAAATCCAAAATGAAATAAAAAATTGTTTGCATACATTTTGCGAATAGGCCAGTTTTGGAAAAACAAAGAAACAAACAACGACAACAACAACAACAAATGTGGAAATTGTGGCTCAGTGTCAACATACGAAACATAACGCCAAAACGAAGATGGAATTAGGGTTTTCAACCCACTTTGCCTCCAGCAGACACACTTGGAAACTATGAAAAAACATTTGCATAACAGTTGACACTATATGGCCTTGACAGAAGTGCAGAAAGGGGGTTGTAGGGGAATACAGTAAATCTTTCCATTTGAAATTCTTATTTGCATTATTTGTTTCCTTATAAAATGTGAAGTGCAAAACAAAAAAGTTTTGTTGTTGCTGCTGCTGTTGTTGTTCTTCTTCTTGTTCCATTAAGTAGGTAGTTTTTCCATTTGAATGGAAATAAAATGCCTTGGGTAGAAATTCCCAAACAATGGAGGAAATGGCACGTGCCAAGTTTGAAAGTTTTAAGATGTAACACCTCTACAAGAGGGGAGGGGCCTGAGGGACAGAACGAGAGAGAGAGAGAGAGAGAAGTAGGACTGACATGGATCCAATGTGTGTTTTGCGGGTGAGATGAAAAAACTGCAACCAACTTCAGACTGCTGTCATTTCTAAGCCACTAGTCCGACAGCTGTTAAAATTATTCCAATGACAGCTCACTATATTGTTTACAAGCGTACAAAAGTATTTTAGTGAAAATTTTCCAGAAAAAAAGTTATTAGTGATGAAATTCAAGCATGATAGTAGGATTTCTTTATATTTGACTGGCGCAGAATTTAAAGGTGAATAAATCTTTTGTTTCTCGTACCACCACTCCTTACCGTAATACTGGTAGCGTAGCCCGATGTCAAGGAAGTGTACGGAAGAATACAGCAACATCAGCAGAAATGGTTCGAAAAGTAAGGAAGCTACTTGATCGAAACCCGGGTCGGCGTGGCCGAAAAATGGCTCGTGAGCTGAACATATCGCAATATTCCATTCAGCAAATATTGAAAAATGAGCCATTGAAATTCCAAAAGTCCAAGAACTTACACCGCAACAGAAAGAAAATAGACTCAAAAGAGCTAAAGAGTTGCGAAAATGGTGAATTTGGTTTTCTCCGATGAGAAAGACTAAGAGGTCAGCTGAAAATGTGCACCTTCGGTTGGCTACCAGAACTTAAGCTACGGTGATGGATGGCCATTGAAATTCCAAAAGTCCAAGAACTTACATCGCAACAGAAAGAAAATAGACTCAAAAGAGCTAAAGAGTTGCTTCGGTTGGCCGAAAATGGTGAACTTGGTTTTCTCCGATGAGAAAGACCTAAGAGGTCAGCTGAAATGTGCACCTTCAGTTGGCCAACAGAACTCAAGCTCCGGCCATGGTGATGGTGTGGGTCGCCATAACAACCGATGGTCGCTCTTTGCTCTCCGCTCGTATTAATCGACCGTGGCATCAGAATAAATGCCGAATATTATCGCGAAAATATTCTGGAGGGTGTATTAAAGCCTTGGCCACGCAAACATTTTGGCCGCAGAATGAGGTTACAAAACGAGGTTCAGCTGCATATATCAACATCGATTGTCAACAGGTACCTCAATATTAAATTTGAGTATTCCAGCCGCATCCTTTCACCTAAAAGCAAGTTAAGTACCATTTAGTACTGTTCGTATGAGCAGTGGACGTATTTTCAAACCACCGCCAAATCTCAAACACAGATACCATAATCAACTTTGTGAATTTTGTTTCCATCTTTTCACCCAATGCTAAATTTAGTACCACATAGTACTTTTCGAACAATTACAATACAAATTTCCGAAACTACTTTCCTATGGCCAGGCTACACATGAACACCGACCATAATACGAAATTTTAGATTTCAAGAACTTTTTCTTCATTACATTCAAAATTGTACCAAACATAGTACTATTTAGTACTTTTCGTAAACATTTACAAAATCTCCTCCGAATATCAACACCAGATTGTAACAGAGACCTTCGTATTAAATTTCGGGATTCCAGCTTCATCTCTTCATCCAATGCGAAATATAGTATTATTTAGTACTTTTCGTACAAATAAAGGACACATTTCTAAACCATCGCTAAATCTCTAACATATATACCATGAATAATCAATGTATATAATTTCAGAATTTTGTCTCTATTGCCTTACCGAAAACCAAATATAGTACCATTTCCAATTTCAGTATTCCAGTTCTGTGGGTTCACCCAAATCGAAATTGTACCAAATTTAGTACCATTAAATACATATAAGTAAAAATTTCCGTAACTACCTATATCATACAATCCAATAGAAATCTTATTACCTAATTTCAGAATTCCAACTCTAGGGGTTCTCCCAGATAATTCTATCGGTTTTCCCAAAACATTTTTACAGTACATTTTAGTATTTTCCCACTCATAGAGCGAATCTAAAGAGACCGTTTGGTACATCCATCATACACTCCATGAGTGACTGTTCTACATTTAAGACTTCTAGATACAAAGTGTATCATATTGAGTACTTTTCGTACTGTTCTGTAACGAATTTCTAAAAACCCAGTCTTTTCTGACACATTCGGGCGACAAGCGATACCCTCACTCAAATTTTTTCCGAGTCCATAACTAATTTGGGATAAAAGTTTGCCATTCAAACGATGTCTCCTCTTTAGTTTTTTGTCGGCCGACCCACTCACTATGGCCTAGTTTTCTTGTTTTCATAAACAAAAAAAACATTAAAAAAACATTAAGTTCGGCCGGGCCAAACTTTTAATAACCTCCACCTTAGGGTAAAAGAAAAATTAGAAGAAATGTGCCAAAAACCATTAAAATGCCGAATATCGAGAGGTACCGTTATATGGGGGCTACACCAAAACGTGGACCTTTAATTACAATGTTTCGCCACACGAACTGGGACCCATTATGACTCACAAATACCAATTTTTAGACAAATCAGTGAAAAAATGTGGCAAAAACCATCAAAATACCGAATATCGGGATGTACCGTAATATGGGGGCTATATCAAATCATGGACCCATGCATGCAATGTTTCGCCACCGAAGCTGGAACCCATTATGACATACAAATACCAATTTTCAGACAAATCCGTGAAAAAATGTGGCAAAAATCATCAAATTACCGAATATCGATAGGTACCGTTATATGGGGGCTACACCAAAACGTGGACCTATAATTACAATGTTTCGCTACACGAACTAGGACTCATTATGACCCACAAATACCAATTTTTAGACAAATCAGTGAAAAAATGTGGCAAAAACCATCAAAATACCGAATATCGGGATGTATCGTAATATGGGGGCTATATCAAATCATGGACCCATGCATGCAATGTTTCGCCACCGAAGCTGGAACCCATTATGACATACAAATACCAATTTTCAGACAAATCCGTGAAAAAATGTGGCAAAAATCATCAAATTACCGAATATCGAGAGGTACCGTTATATGGGGGCTACACCAAAACGTGGACCTATAATTACAATGTTTCGCTACACGAACTAGGACCTATTATGACCCACAAATACCAATTTTTAGACAAATCCGTGAAAAAATGTGGCAAAAACCATAAAAATACCGAATATCGGGAGGTACTGTTATATGGGGACTATACCAGAACGTGGACCGATATATCTCATTTTCTATACCAACCATCCTAGACACAATGCAAATTGCTCTGCTAAATTTTGGCGCTCTATGTCAAATAATGTGGGCTGTATCGTGATTTCAACAGACAGACTGACGGACATCGTTAAATCTACTCAGAATTTTATGCTGATTATGAATATATATACTTTATGGGGTCTAAGACGAATTTTTAAGGATGTTACAAACGGAATGACAAAGTTAATATACCCTCCTTTCCAAGGTGGAGGGTATAAAAATTGCTTGTGGTTTGCAAAAGCTTTGTGTGCAGCTTAACCTACAACATCATCATAAGGGACACAACAACAAGAACGACATTCCACAAATAGCTTGAACTTCTGATAACCACAGCTATAGATCGACGAAAACACAATGAAAGTGTTTTCCATATCAGGCACATGCAGTTATTCGAATGAGTTTGCTAAAAAGCTCTTCGAAAATTAATCCCAGTATTGAAATAAATTTCGAAATGTTAACATTCAAGGCCTCCTGAATGAAGAAGTAAAAAATCAATTCACAAAATAAACATGACTTTCCGATTCGATAATGTAAAACTTGCTCAAATAATTTTATTTCTCATCGCAAATGTGTTGACGTCAAGTGCCGAAATCGATTTGAGTAGTTCACTTGTTCGAGATATTCTACTAAAAAGTAAGAAAGCCGAAATAATCAATTCGATAGATCCCCAGGTCCAGCCATGCGATAATTTCTATAAATTTGCCTGCGGCCAATGGCAGCGGGTAAATAAAGCTGACAATAGCCAAATTGTTAGTAGGGATAAATTTCAAGAAATGACCAATATCCTACATCAGAAGGTGCACGATTTACTGAATAATACTTCCGAGCCACATACGAATTCCATAAAGGATAAACTACAGGATTTCTACAAGTCCTGCATACAATTGAATTCCGCTTCGGCAAATTATAAAGTGGACCTGCATCGGATCTATGAGTCATATGGTGAGTTTTCTTTTCTCAACAACAATCGGAGTGTGGCCGATAATGCGGAGATTTTGACCTTTGATGTGTGGTCTACCATAGCTCAGTTGAAGAGGCTATATGACAAGACCATACTTTTATCCATCGATGTGCAAACTGATTTTTATAATCGCAACGAGACGAAAATATATTTGGGTCCTCCGGACCTATCCAACAATCTGCAAGACAAAGAAGACGCAATGTCCTGGTATTTAGGTAAAATATTTTACATTAACAGGGATAAGATATCGGATATCACCTCAACATTGCTGCAAGTGGAAAGTGATTTGAGTCAGATGGATGTGGACTCGGCCGAGGAGAATGACGGAGGTGACATCAATGATATGCTGCAGTTGTATACCCTAGATCATTTGCAGGAAAAATATCCTGAATTTGATGTGAAATCGTTTTTGAGCATTGCCTTGAATACCAGCGATGTACCCGAACAGCTGTACCTCTTCAACGAAGGCTATTTTCGAAATCTATTGGAAGTGGTAAATTCTACCCACCCGGAGATCCTACGGGACTATGTACTCTGGCAGCTGCTGGAAGAGTATTTGATTGACACAGTGGTTATGAAGCCATCGGAGAAGGAAGAGTTTTGTACAAAACAATCGAAAAAATATTTTGGTGAATTTATGGATCACACCATCTATGAGGGATATCGTTCGGAGGTTTACGAAAAAGAGCTACTGCAGTTGTGGCACGAAATCAAGTCCAGTTTTAGGAGTGCTTTTCGAAACAACAGCTATCCATGGATGTCGCAGCAGGTGCAAAGGGAAGCCCTCGACAAGTTGAATGCCATGAATTTGACCATCAATTCCTATGAAAACGTGGATTTCCCGCGTTTCTATGAAACCCTGAAAATAGATCCCTCCAATTATGTCACGAATATTGAGGCGATTTTACGTCATAGGGCAGCACAGAAGAGTACTACCACCATGTCATTGGATACGGCCCAGTTGACCTCCTTTACACCGGTCTACAGAAGTTCCAAGAACTCCATCATGATACCCGTCAGTCTGCTGCAACCCTTCATGGTGTGGCATCCCCTCTATCCGCAATCGATAAAATTCGCCACATTGGGTAACCTCTTGGCCCACGAAATGATCCACGGTTTCGATGACAAGGGACGTCGGTACGACAGCTATGGACAACTTCGTGACTGGTGGGATGAAGAGTCGGAAAATACCTTCGAAGAGGGACGTTCGTGTTTCGAACAACAATATCATCGTTTCGTATACGAAAAGCAACAGCTACCCCTTCAGCCGGTCCAATCGGAAAATATAGCCGATAATGCAGCCATACGTCTGGCGTTTGCTGCCTATTCCCATTGGTGGCACAACACGAAAGAAATGCAACCCGATCTCGAAATCAAAGAGAACTTCCAAGATCTCAAGTACACAAATTGGGAATTATTTTTCATAAGCTACGCCCAGCTGTGGTGTGACGATGTTCACACGAAATATCGTACCGCCATTCTCGATGAGATCATCCATGCACCATCGGAGTTTCGGGTGATTGGACCATTGTCAAATTTCAATAAATTTTCGGAGATTTTCAAATGCCACCCAGGAAGTGCTATGAATCCGAGAGATAAATGTGAAATTTATTAGTTAATAAAGAAATGATAAATAAAGTTTATGTCAGATAACAAGGATGTCATAAGCTCTGAATTGAGAAAAACGGAATTCATATGTATTTGAATTTAAAAAAAAAGTATTTTTAAATACTCAAATACAAAATACTTTCAATACAAAAACAAGTTTCATACTTTGATCTAAATAAGAGTTTGTAAAAATTTTATTATCGCTTGAAAATGTTTATACCCTCCATCATGCATGTATATTAACTTCGTCATTCGTCCATTTGTATCTCATCGAAATAATAATTTTAGATGATCAGGAATATATATACTTTGATATATATTCCTGAGCAGCGTAAAATTCTAAGACGAGTTACCCCTGTCCATCTGTTGTAATGACGCTAGCGTCAAAACGAATTAAGATGGGAAGCTGAAATTTTGCACAGATCAGTCTTTTGTATGCAGGGAGGTTAAGTTCGAATGGGCTATATCGGTTCAATTCATATTGTTCTCATATAACGGTAGCCTCGATATTCGGTATTTTGATGATTGTAGCCAAAATTTTCATTGGAATTGTCTCAAATTTCACACAAGGAGTTGCTTTTTAATACTTTACCCCTTGGAAGAGTATTGTCCATGCAGGTGCACGATGTCGTATATCCCCAAATATATCGGTAGCTACTTAAATAAATCCACATAAATATTTAGGCTAGATAAAATATTCAAAATTAAACTTTTTAATAGATGCTTTTTTTTGAAAAATCCATTATTGTTGGGCCTTGAAATATTAAAAAATAATTACGATAACATTTGAAAAAAAAAACATTAAAATCTAACTTAATTTGCAAGTCATTTTCGGCGTGTAAAAGTAAACGATATTTTGCATTTGAAAATTTAAACAAAGCTGATATACAGGGTGAGATAAAAAAAATGCAACAAAGTCAAACGCCATAATTTTTACATTTTTTTTAAATTTTATTGAATGAAAGCAAAAAATGTCGGAAATAGCATCAGATTTTAGAATAAGTTTAGATTTATTCGAATTGGTCACCTTTGGCACGAATTATAGCTTTCAAACGGCCAATGAAACCGTCACACACTGCCCGAATGTTATTCTGCGGTATTTTGACTCATTCCCGGCGAAGCACTTGCTTTAGGTGATCGATACTTTTGTATTTTTTAGTGTCAACCTTACTTTCCAAAATACTCCAGTCACAATAGTACAACTGATTGGTATCCGGAGATTTTGGTGGCCATTGTGCGCTGGAAATGAAGCGAAGAATCTCATTTTGTAACCATTCATTGGTGGCGCGTGCTGAGTGCGATGGTGCTGAGTCTTGCTGGAATATCCAAGGTCTGCGACCAAAATGTTTGCGTGCCCATACACCCTCCAGAATATTTTCGCGATAATATTCGGCATTTATTCTGATGCCACGGTCGATTAATACGAGCGGAGAGCGACCATAGGCTGTTATGGCGGCCCACACTATCACCATCACCATGGCCGGCACTTGAGTTCTGGTGGCCAACCAAAGGTGCAAGTAAACACGATCATTTTGGACAGCGAAGCATTCATGTCTTCAAAATTGAGAGCCAAGTCGGTGATTATTTTCAAATTTTGTAAATCTACATATTTTTCTCAACCTGAGATCTGAGGTGAATATGGAATTTATCGGTTCACTTCTTCTCGTACCTCCCCCACGATGTCTGTTTTTATACCTTACACCACAAGGTGGTCAGGGTATTATGTCTTTGTGCATTTGTTTGTAACAGGCAAAATGAAACGAGATAGACCCATAGTCCTTTTGATAATCTGCATAGAATCACATTCTGAGTCGATTTATGCATATCCGTCTTTCCATGTATTTTTGTAAACAAAGTAGAGTTCGCATTTATTGCCCTATCCAGATGAAATTTTGTACAAATCATTTGTTTGGCCCAAGGACGAACCCTATTGAAATTGGAGATAATCGGTGAAAATTTAAATATAGCTCCCATATATATCTTCGTCCGATTTGCTTTCTATTGTGCACCAAACGTGTAATATCAGTCCGAATAGTATGGAATTTTGCACGTACGATCAGATTGGACCTGAAAATAAGTATACCAAATTTGATCGAAATCGGTTCAGATATAGCTATAGCTCCCATAAATATTGTTCATCCGATTTGTTATTTTTGTCCTACGCAGCCGTAATATGCACTGTAACAACAATATTTGGGGAAATATATCAATGTTTTCTCATCGGAGAAAACCAAATACGGCAGTTCAACACTTTCGGGTAAGCGACGCAACTTTTTAGCTCTTTTGAGTCTATTTTCTTCCTGTTGCGGTGTAAGTTCTTGCACTTTTTGGAATTTCAATGGCTTTACCCCGAGCTAATTTTTCAATATTTGCCGAATGGTATATTTTGATATATTAAGCTCACGAGCCATTTTCGGCCACTGCGACCCGAGTTTCGATCAAGTCCCTTCTTTACTTTTCGAACCAATTCAGCTGATGTTGCTGTTTTCTTCCGTCCACTTCCTTGACGTCGGGCTACGCTACCAGTATCACGGTAATGAGCAATGATACGAGACACAAAAGATTTATTCACATTTAAATGCTGGAGTGCTCTAACGATAGCTACTTCTGGTTTTCCAGCCAAATATAAAGAAATCACACTATCACGCTTGAATTCCATTACGAATAAGATTTTTTCTGGATAATTCTCACCAAAATGCTATTGTACGCTTGTAAACAATATAATGAGCTGTCACTGGAATAATTTTAACAGCTGTCGGACTTGTGGCTTAGAAATGACAGCAGTCTGAAATTGGTTGCAGTTTTTTTATTTCACTCTGTATTGAGATGATCCAAGTGATCTTAATCCGAAATTTTCAAAAAAATATGGAATTAAAACTTCAAAACGCCAATTCATGTGGTATTTGGAAAATCTCTCTAAAAAACTAACATTTATCAACAAAATTACTATTTAAAAAAAAAACCGATGTGAGATTGAAAAATGTTAAAAAAAAAACATGCCCAAAGAATGGCTTTGTTTCGCAAAAATATTCGTTGAATATTCACTTCCATAAATTGTTTTGAGTTTGAAATAATATTCCTTAAAAAACGAACAAGTAAAAAAGCTGTATGTTCGGCCGGGCCGAACTTTGAATACCCTCCACCATTTGGAACGAATTTGGCAATTTTTGAGTACAATTTTTGAGAGCATTGCTAAATTGAAATAGCATTTTATGCTGATCAAGAATATACTAAAATGTATATTTTGTGGTGTTACAAACGGAATGACAAACTTAATATACCCTCCGTACTATGGTGGAGGGTATAACAATTTTCGTAAAACATTTACGTCTATAGATCGATTTGGACTCGAAAAAATGTCTTTAAAAATCTTCCTAAAGAATTCTTCAAATTCGGTTCAAAAACTATTTAAAAAATCCATATCTATAAATTGGTTGGTATTCAAAAAATATTCTTTAAAAATCCGCTTCTGTAGCATTACAACGGTTTAAGAAAATACATATTTTCTATTTGGAATTTAAAAAAATCGTTTCGCCTTGATAAATATTTAAAAAATCCCCTTTGTAGCTCTATCTGGTCTTGAAAACATATTTTTTTTTAGTTTTTAAAACTATTTTTAAATCTCAAGCATTGTTGCTCTATTATATCTGAAAAAATATATTTTTGTTTACAAAATATGTTAAACAAGTAAGCAAAGGCTATAGTCGTGCGGGGCCGACCATGTGATACCCTACAACACAACAATAAGTTAGAAGCCCCCTTATGTCTAAATCCATTTTGAAAGATTTCGCTTTTGAAATTATGTCACCAGGGACATTTGCCCAATATTTACGCACACCGTCGTGCTTTTAGTTGTGTGGTCCATTTTACAGCTAAATATAATCCAATGGTCATCCAAAAGGCTAGAATTCTTCTCTGTTCTTAACTCTCTTCTCAGACGTGTCGATTGGCTTCAATTGTGTAATCACGAATTTTTTTCTGCTTTTGGTTCATTTGAAATCCTAAATATTTTGCGAAAGTAAGAGGCCCTTCTGTATCTCCAAATTTAGACTCATCTATATGATATGCTTATCTACGATATTTGGTTATATTCGTCAACGAAATCAGCATAAAGAGCCAGAAGTTCGTCTTTTGTTTACTTCGGATATCGCCTGTAAGTAATGTTGGTAATTTTCCACACGAAAGTGTGGTCCATTCTACCCGCTGACCTTAACCCTAACTTCATGCGAGATTTCGTGCCCATTAGTTTCTATTTGTGACCTTATAACTGCTGCATTTTTAGTTGTTGGTCCAGTTCAGTTCCAGTTTTATGCGATTTTTTTAGATTTTATACTTTTACACCAGGAGGGCATTATGAATCGACAAAATTTGTCAAAATCGGTCCAGCCATTCTTGAGATATAAGCATTCTAGATAACATCCTCTTCCTTTACATATATACATTATATACATCCTCTTCCTTTACATATATACATTATATATATATATATATATATATATTTCCGATATATTTACTATCGGCATCTACGTTACGGCCAGAATTGGCCTGTTAGCCTATTTGTGATTTCGCCGTTATTAAAAATATTCGCGGTTTAATATAAAATTTGACTTTTATTTAACAGAAATGTTATGGTCTATTTCACCCACTAAATATTACCCGATGACCACCAAAATTGGAAGCCGTCTGCCCAGCCCGAAGCTCTAGCGCCATGCTAACTTCCGCTTCGATTGGTCCATAATTGCGTCCTGTAGAGAAACTGCAAAATCAGGAAAATTTTCAATTTTTGGTCCATTTAAACACCTAAATATCATGCGATCATATCCAAAAGAAATAGGGTTCTATTCTGACATAAACCCCACCTCCATTTTCAATTTCGTGAGGATCGGGCCATAATTGCGACCTGTAGAGGGATTACAAATTAACATGGACAGACGGACGGATCGACATTCATAGCTAGATCGACTCAGCTCGGCGAGATAGGAAGATCCATATATACTTTCCTATGTGAGAAACCAATATTTCGAGGTGTTACATAATTTTTGGCCCAATCAAACTTATTATACCCCCAACACATAGTGTTGTAGGGTATAAAAATGTATTGCATTTTTTTTTTTTTTTGATTTTTTTAGTTTTGAAAAAATAATTTTTTTTCAATCCACTTTTGTAGCTCTTTATTGGATTGATTAAAAAATCCTAATAAATTGAAAACTTTTTTTAGGATCATCTACCTTTTAGAGGCCCTCCTCCTGTGCTTATCGTTTTCTTCCCGTATTTATCTAAAAAAAAATGTTTTTTTTTTCTATTTCTTTTATTAAAAATCGCATACAAACTCTTTTCATCTTCGTTTCAATACAATTCACATTTCAGCGAGGGATTCATGGGCGTTTCCGGTTTCATATCACATCGAAAGATCCACGAAAAATCGTGGAAATTCGACAATGAACCAATAACCCGATACATAGAGGGTGCATGGACATCGCTGAAGGCTAAATAACTTCTGAACAGCGTTTGAACATCTTCACACCAAAGCTGGGCAAAACTGATGAAGAACAGCTCGCGATTGTTGTAGTCCAAATTGGGTAAGACATCTTCACGTTCAATGTTGGCGTTCGTAGGCTTTTCACGTTCCAGCCAACGGACATAGGCGGTGTAGGCCAAACGAATCCCGGCATTGTCGGCTATATTTTCGCTTTGCCTTCGACTGTTGGGCAGCAGGCGGCCACCATAGGTGTAGTTGTGATATTGGGCCTGGAAACAACGACGTCTCGATTCAAATTCATAGGCAGACTTTTCGTCCCACCAATTGACGGCATTGCCATGGGCATCATACACCCGTCCCTCATCGTCAAATCCGTGGATCATTTCATGGGCCAGCAGGAAGCCCAAGGTACCGTATTTTATGGCCTTCGGGTAGAGGGGATGCCATAGGCGATAGGGCTGCAGTAGAGCTACTGGCACTTGTATGGCATTGCTGAACTCACTATATGTGGGGGTGAAGGACATTATCTCCTCGTTTTCCAGGTCGTGGGTGGCCACTTCCAATTTATTGGGTCTCAGGGATTCGATGTGTTTGAGTATCGCCTTAATATTGGCCACGTAGTTGTGGGGACTAATTATTAAATCCTTAAAGAATTCCTGAAAATTTTCATTGTCATGGGAGTTGATGGTTAAATTCATTTTATCCAATTTTTCCAGAGCATGTTCCCGCGTGCTCTGACCCATCCAATAGTATTTGTCACCCTTAAGGCTGTCATGAAAGGCGGCTTTGATTTCATGCCACAGCTCATAGACCTCCTTTTCATATTGCTCCGAACGATATTGCTGGTAGATGACGTGTTCAAGGGATTTGCTAAAGTATTTTTTGGTCCTGGCCACGCACCATTTCTTGGGAGCCCGTTGCTTACCGTAAATGATGAAATCTTTTAATAGAGACCACAGAATATAGTCCTCAACAATAGCCGAATCGGTGGCCTTGATAATCAGCAGAGATTTTTCGAAATATTTTTTGTCATAGACATAGACCTGGGCCGGCAAATTCTCAGTACCCAGGGTCAGTTGTAAAAATTTCTCCACATCGAAATGGTCTTGGAATTCCTCATTCAAATCGCTGACATTGTAGAGGGTGAGCAGATCCGCTTTGGATTTACCTTCATGTTTGTCGGTATAGCTTTGAGAGAGTAAAATGTCAAAATTCATTATCCATTTGGCCACCTGCTTGGCCGAGTCCTTGTCTAATCCTAGATATTGCTGTAACAAGGCATGAAGCCTGGCATCCTGTAACTGGTCTATGGGATTGGCAGCAGTGGGGTTTCTTTCGAAATTTGGAGGTCCCAAATAAACCATGGTTTGGTTGGCATTGTTTAGGTCCTTCAAAACATCCACCGACAATATAATGGCTAGGCCATAGGTATTTTTAATCTTCGCCACGGTGGACCACCAATGGAATTCTTCAACTTCTTGATTTTGCCCCTCCATCATCTTTCCCTCTTCTCCGTCGCCAAGTCCTCTAATGACCGGCTTCACTTTGAGAAATGAAAATTCTCCATATTCCCCATAGACCGAACGCAGTGCCTCCAAGTAGCCACCATCATTCCAATGCACTCTCAAACACGACTCATAGAAATCTTTCAATTTATCCTCCACCACAGCTCCCCTCCTGGGATCAGTTAAAAAATCCAATATTTTTGCTTCCATTAATTTGAGCATGTCATGAAATTGATCGGTGGCATAATCCCCAAACAACTGGGCCGAATTGATGCGTTTCCAATTGGCACAGGCAAAGTGGTAGAAATCGCCACAGGGATTATGGCTGGCATCCATCCATGATTTGATATCGGCGGCCTTACTACGTTTCAGCAATTCTTTACCCATTGGGGTCTCGAAGAGTTCATTTTCAGGGAAGCCGCATGCCAAGGGCAGTGTGACAATTACCACATAGACAACAAAACTTTTCACTAGCATGCTGCTGCCTTAAACTATTCATCGAAAAGCTTAAAACTAAACTATGGAGCATATAATGCTGTTCTCCAACTGAAAGCGGGAAACAGGCAAATTTCTTATCAGAGTTTCAATGGGTGCTCTTATCAGCGGGCAAGCGTTAGTTTTCGGATTGCTCTCTGCCCGCAAATGGAAAGAGTGATCTATCCTCTTTCTCTCTTTTAAAAGTTTACAGTGCTAGTTCAAGTTTTAGCATTATGTGGAGATTAGAATTGGACTTAATTCAAGCTTAGTTTGATAACATAAAACAGGGTTACCATGTTGTTGCCTAAATGGAAACATTTTGGGAACAAAATATAAAAGATGAGTGAATGTTGATCTAGAGTCCGGAAGGCTGGGTTTGGAATTTGGCAATTTAGCATGCTGGCAGTTTTTGGTTGGCGGAGGGCTTTTTTTTGGAAAGTCGTGCACAAGTCTTCACATGATTTTTTTTTAATTTCAAATGAAAAAAATGAAAATTTGTACTGTCAGTGCTTTAATTCTAAAATTTGTCATTAAGCGTGTTTTGAGGAAACAAATAATGTTCCCAAAGTCCATTTAATGCTTAAGAGCTTTTCAAATTTGCAAGTCTCAATGGAATCGGATGTTAATTTCGCGTTTAAAGAGCTTTATGGATATTCCAAACTTTGAACCAGTGTGAGAAAGAGTGGGCCAATATATCCCATCTTCAGAAAATGAGATGTGGGAAATATGAAGAGGGCCAGATGTTTATTTCGGACTTTATAATCGTTTTGGTTCTTCAAAACTTTGACCCTATGTGGAGGAGGTACCAGAAGGAATGGACCGATCATTACCACCCTGATAACAGATCTCGTGTGGATGGAAATATAGAGATGTAGTAAGTCTGCATGGAATCAGATGTTAATATTGCGTTTTATGAGCTATATGTATATTCAAAATGTTGAACCTATGTGAGGAGGTACCGTAAGGAGTGGACCGACATATTCCATTTCCATAACAGACCTTGGGTTAAAAAAAAAAATATTATGATGAGCGTAATTTGAGGACAATCAGACTCTTACACCATATTTTATTAGAGTTATAATTATTAAATATTTTGACCCTTTGGGGTGGAGGTACTTGATGGAGTGGACCGATATTGCCAATTTCCGAACTCGATCTAACTTTTAGAATAATATAATTTGGATCAAATCGGATACTCCCTTCGAGAGTTATCATGCGCACCAGCCAGACAGACAGACGGATGGACATCGCTAGGTCGACTCCAAATGTAATGAAACGGATTTGGTCCAAAGAGACCTAGGGTCGAAATAACGATGAGGCACGTTTTGGCCGTATCAAATTCCAATATATATATAGAAACCTGCAACTAAGTCAAACGCCATAATTTTTACATTTTCTAACATTTTATTGAATTAAAACAAAAAATATCGGAAATAGCATCAAATTTTAGAATCAGTTTAGATTTTTTCGAATTGGTCACCTTTGTTACGAATTATGGCCTTCAAACGGACAATGAAACCGTCACACTCTGCCCGAATATTGCTCTGCGGTATTTTGGCCATTTCCGGCGAAGCGCTTGCTTTAGGTGATCGACACTTTGAAATTTTTTAGTGCCAACCTTGCTTTCCAAAATACTCCAGAGACAATAGTCCAACCGATTGGTATCCGGAGATTTTGGTGGCCATTGTGCGCTGAAATGAAGCGAGGAACCACATTTTCTACCCATTCTTGGGTGGCGCGTACTGAGCTCTTTTGGAATGTCCAAGGTCTGCGGCCAAAATGTTTGCTTTCCCAAGTCTTTAATACACCCTCCAGAGTATTTTCGCGATAACATTAGACATTTATTCTGATGCCATGATCGATTAATACGACCGGAGAGCGACCATCGGCTGTTATGTTATATCGGCCCACATCATCACCATGTCTGACGCTTGAGTTCTGGTGGCCAACCGAAGGCCACCAGCTGACCTCTTTGGCAAGTAAACACGATAATTTTGTTTGTTTGCAAACAGCTGGACAACAAATGTTTTCTCATCGGAGAAAACCAAATTCGACAGTTCACCTCTTTCGGCCAAG